GGGGTTTCACCATGTTGACCAGGATGGTCTCGATCTCCTGACCTCGTGATCCACCCGCCTTGGCCTCACGAAGTGCTGGGATTACAGGCGTGAGCCACCGCGCCCAGCCTATAAGCATATTCTTAATCCTGTTCTGCACAGTGCTAATGGAGAACACAGATCAAACTTCAACATTACATGTTCTCCATCTTTACTAAGAACCTCAGCTTTCCCCCAATAGGAATCTTGAGTATTCACATCTTACCATGTTCAACAGCCACAAAAGGAACACTTTTAATATGGAAGATTATACATTCATGGTAGGAATTCTGCATTGCATATAAGAAGCCATGATGTAGAGAAGGCTCTCATACATAGGAAAGAAATATTTTTTAGAGACTCCTGACTATCGTAACAATCTTAAAAAGTACTTGAAATAAACTCATTGGGGAAGAAAAACACAAGTAGAGAAGTAAAGGTTTGTGAGTACTAAATGCTTGGCACTCCAGGAGGCAGGGTGGACACAGCTCTTGATCTGAGACATGTTTAGCTGAAAAGAGGCCATTTTTCCTCTTTCTCCTCCTTCTCTGGAAAACCTTTTCAGAGAAAATTCTCTGGATAATTAATACCTGTACCTTGAGAAAATTCCCTTAAAGACATCAGCACCACCTGCTTATCTGCCAGTCTCACACCCACAGACAGAAGGATCAAGACCAAAAGGTCCACCCATTTCTCTCCTTTAAAACAGAAGAGATTCAGGAACAATGAGCTGCTCCACGGAAATAAAAATATACATTCCTCTTTTCCTGTCCACAGGTGCCCTCCCCTGCCACACACCAGCAATTTCTGCTACAGTAATGGAAATATGGGCCACAGTTCTCGGTCCCTACCAAGTCAAACAGAATAGGCTCTGTGACCACCTTTTACTGCAGAGGTGACACTTAACTCTCAGGAATGTATCTTGAAGCCTTCATACTTGATTCTGACCTCACCTTAGAGTCATATGAGGCACTTAATTAAAATAACATGAATGCTTCCATCCAGAACAATAAACAAAACCAGTGTAAAGGGCACAAGTAAGATTTCTGCAAATTGACCATGTAATCTGAATGAGAAGAGTGGGCTGATAAGCACCTTCTCTCAAGCTTTAATGAGCTTAAAAATTACTTGGTAATGTTGGTCCCACTCTGTGTAATGTGAATCTGCAGATTTGGAAAAACACCATGAATGTGTGTTTCAAACAAGTTTCACTGCCAGTGCAGATCTTGCTCCCCCTGGGTTCATTATTAGCAGTAGTTAGAGAAAGTAGGCACAGCACAGATTCCATACACTCAGCACTCCTGTCACAACATAAATACTTCTGATACGAATGAAGACAACCAATCTCCATCCTAAAGTTTCATATTCTTTGCTGACTCTTTGAAGTTTTCAGAGGAAACAGAAAGCAGCAATTTCTGAATAAGTCTGCATTTGAAAAACAACATGTACACATGTAGTAACGCAATGTTTATTAAGTAGGTACTATCTATTCAAGAATATGTTACAAAGCACTGTGCTGGGAATAACACATTATGTGATTTCATTCTCATAACACCCTGGAAATTGATACTAACAGTTCAATAATTCCCAGGATTTAGATAAAATGTCTGCCATTTCTATTTCTTCCTCTGTTTCTCTGTCATTGATTTTTTTTAAATGTATAGAATAAAAGTTAAATACAGACAGATGAGAGGAATATAGAAAAAGTTTAATGTAGTTTAGATAAATTTTTATTGTGTTTATATTTACTTTTTGTTACTTGTGGAGCAACTACTGGATCTGCAGGAATAGAACACAAGTTACTAAATGGAACGTTTCTATAAGCAATGGTTTTAACACAAATTTTTTTTTTTTTTTTTTTTTTTTTTTT